CACTATTTGTTAACTGTCACTCATTACCCATTACCGCTATCCATTATCCGTTACCTATTATTTACTATCTGTTAAATTTTAACCGTTGTACCAAACAAACAGTACCTAAGTATTATAAACCCAAAGTAACTGTGCTGAACCTTTCATACATCCGTGTTCAATGTGAAAAATGCGAAAAACGCGAAAAACCACTCCAAAGCAAAACAAATAAATAAGGTTAAATGACAACTTTTAGTCTTTAAACTTTTAAGGTTAAACATTTTACTTTTTGAATTTTTTTTGTACTTTCTTGTCCTTAAATAAATTATAAATGCATAGGATAAGAATGCATTTATTGTGCATTTTTATTATTAATTATGTCTTAATTTATGTAGAAAAATAAAAAATTATTAAAAAAAAAAACTGTTTAGTTATAACCAAATTTCCAGTGACTACAAACCACAGCATACTTTTTTGATGAATTTAATGACAAATGAATCTTTCCATGATAAAATATTTTACATTAAAATTAAAAAACAACGAATTATTTTGTATTAATTAAAATACAAAGTGATTTCTAAATATAGAAATTAATATGGAAAAGAAAAGAACGAATCCACTTGACCTAATGAAATGTCAATTATGACCCTGAATGGAACCGGAGCCAACCGCAACCCAACCCAAGTGCCGAAGGCGAAAACAAAGACAATAAAAATTCACTGTTCCTCCACGTTGGTCTTGTTGCTTTTTCAACTCCCTCTCGGTCTCCGCTCGCCAACACCGCTCATCTCTCTCTTTCTCTCTCTCTCTATCTGGTTCAGTTGTTCGCCGACGACAAAGCGGTTCCGGAAACACCTCTTACCGTCCAATCTCTTTTATCTCCGGCGGTTTTCTCAGCCACTGAATCGCGATGAGTACCGGCGAGCTTCTCAGCGTCGAGCCTCAGGAGCTCCAATTTCCCTGTAAGTCCTCCGAAGAGTCTCCTTTAAACTCACGCCTTTTGTAGTTTGAGATCTGCGACTCATTTTCATTTCGGACTCCCTTTGTTGTCTGATTCGTGTATTTCCTCTTCTTGAAAAGTTGAGCTGAGGAAGCAGATCTCGTGCTCTCTAAATTTGGTTAACAAGACCGACAATTATGTGGCTTTTAAGGTAATTATGCTAATTCTCAAATTTTTATTCATCTTCTCTCCATGGCGATTTTGTTTCGGTTTTATGATGCAATGAGGAATCTTAACCTTGATTTTATTGCTTCTGGATGTGGAATTGGTGCTTTGTTTCAGGTCAAAACGACGAATCCGAAGAAGTATTGCGTCAGACCCAACACGGGAGTGGTGTTGCCGAGGTCTACCTGTGATGTTATAGGTCTCTCTCTCTCTCTCTCTCTCTCTCTCTCATATCAATTTTGAGCTTCATTATGCTTTTTAATTTTTGTTCCTTCTGTATATTTTGTGAATAGTATTTAGGGGTTTTGTTTACTTTGGAATTATCCCTATCTAATTGATTACTTGTTAATAATTAGCTTATTTATAACCAGTTACAATGCAAGCACAAAAAGAGCCCCCTCTTGATATGCAATGTAAGGATAAGTTCCTACTTCAGAGTGTAGTTGCAAGTCCTGGAGCAACAGCCAAGGATATAGCTCCCGAGATGGTATTGTTTGCCTTTCTTATTGATTGTTTGTGACATTTTGAGGGTTTTTTGCACTTACACAGTATACACACCACTTCTGTATAAGAAAATGGGTTTCTTCTTTTCCTAATGTATTCTTTATTAAATTTTAGTTCAATAAGGAAGCAGGGCATCCTGTTGAGGAGTGCAAATTGAGGGTTGTATATGTTGCACCTCCTCGACCTCCATCACCAGTTAGAGAAGGTTCTGAGGAAGGTTCTTCGCCTAGGGCTTCACTCTCTGACAATGGGAATTTAAATGCTTTGGAATTTACAAATGTGAGTATTTTAGGACTGGGTATTTTTTGAATAAGGATATTCTGTTGATTCTTTACTGCCTCTTTACGTTAAAAAGTTAAGTTCTGACCATATGAATTCCCCTGCCTATAGGCCGCGAAAGCTTTTGTTGAGCAGCATGATCCTCAAGATAACTCGTCTGAGGTAAGCTCCGCCTCTCATTTGGCAATTTTTTTAGCACTCACATGATTGGACCAAAACCTTCAAAATTAATTGGCATGTGTGTGTCCTTCATTTTGTGGGCATGATAACATTGGAGAATAAACATGTCTATGCCTTTTTTCACTTTGCGTTCTTTTCATCTTCAACATACTTATTCCTACTGTTTCTTTTACCTTTAATCATTTTTCATATTTAAAGCACATTTGCCTACTAATAACTAATAAATGAATTATTTTGTGTTGAACTCTCATCACAATGGCAGAATGCTCATTCTGCTAACCTTTTATGAAAGACCATACTTATTTTTTCTGCTAATTTGATTTGTTGGGAATGCTTTAAATCTAGATAGAACTGTAGACAATCCTTATTTCCTTTGGTTTGATATGATTATAAGGCTCATTATACACTCTGGTTAAGCTTGGAATCCTAATGAGAGAAGGTCTCATTCAAGTTCCTCATCTACACACTGATCAAACCCAATATTAGATAGGATAGTGGGATCTAAGCCCTTTGAATAAAGTGTGCCTTATTTGGCTAGTTATCTCCACTACTAACAAGTAACACTTGTGTATTAACAACTGCTTGATGGTTACCGCCCTTAGTTGGCACAAGTAGTATATGGTTCATTTGCTTGATTATTTTGTTCTAATTATGGTTGAAGCATTTCACCAGGGTACTGGAATCCATCTTTTAGAGCATCTGCTGGGCATCATTCAATCATTTTTCTGACATAATCAAGACAATAGTTATTGAACACCGTTAATCTTGTTTTTGGGTTAGTACTTTTTTCTGGTAAAGTTTTCAACTAGATGCAAGATGGATTGTATGAGAGAAAAATCCTCTGACATTCTTGCCACCTCTTTTGTGCTTGAAACTGCGATCTCTTCTACAAGTCACGATTTTTTCAGCCCTTTTTTGTATCATAGCCCATTGGATTATGTTTTCCAAAGTTTATTGCCTCAGTGATGCATGAAAATATCAACTGCCTTGTGCACTGAAGGTTATGTTTCCTTAAACGAGGACTTATTTTCTTGGTTATCATGCCTGTAAGTAGGATCTTGTATTTTATTTACTGCACTAATAAATCTGACGCCAATATGGTCCAGAAATGTTGTCACTGTAGCAAGATTGGAAACTTGGGAATCCACTGCTTGGATGTATGGAATAGTGAATGCAGTGTTTTAATCTGAATGATACTTTTGCTTCCAGGCAAGGACTCTCATTTCAAAGCTTACCGAGGAGAGAAATTCTGCTGTTCAGCAAAACAAGCAGCTTCATCAAGAGCTGGTAAATGTCTGCATAAAAGATTAAATTAATCTCTAATGTTCTATGCTTAAAAAGCTAGATCTCTACATATCCCAAAATCAAAATAGCATTGTAATTAACATAGCCATTTTCTTAATTTGCAGGAGCTCTTGAGGCGTGAAGTCAAACGGAGTCATGGTGGTATTTCGTTGAAATATATCTTTCTTGTTGGCTTGGTTTGCGTCATTTTGGGATATCTAATTAAGAGCTCATGAGTCCATAACTTTTCACTCTTCTATGTCATTTTAGTTATTGATGGAAAAATGAAATGTAGAAAAATTGGAAAACCGAGTCTGTGACTGATCAGAGTTTTTTGTTCAACAAACCACCTGCTGGTCTGTGTTATCAAACTAGAAGTTTTCTTCTGCGTGTGATGGATTAGAAGCCTACTATTGTATCAGTATGTATTGACGGTAGAGAAATTTACTGGATTTTTTGTAATTTCAGCCCAGGCTAGCTTAGGCCCATTACGTTTAGACCAACCAGGTAAATTTGACTGGCGGGTCCAGTTTGTAGTTAGCGCGATATATGTCTGACCCCCCAGTGCTGTATGGGCTTTGAGGCCTGCAAACTTGGGCCTATTAATTTGTTAGCAAGATTTCGGGCCTAATTTTCCACCGTGGGATTATTTTTCTCCTTTAAGGGTTCGATTGATATAACGGTTTTGGGGTAACAGTTAGTGGTTTTACTTAAATCGTTAAATATAGGTGTTTAGTAAATTTATATATTTCGAAATCATTACAAATAAAGTGTTTGGTAAAATTATTATTTAGTGATTTGAAACTAGCGGATAGCGGTTAGAGTTTAAA